ACTTAACAATTTTACCCTTAAGATATGAATCTATACGTTATTCTCGACGGCCCGGTTAGAAAATAATATTAGATGGGCAAAGCACGTTTATAGAATTTGAAAAAAAATCATATACCGAAAAAATGTAATCCGTTTGTAGGTACCTACTAATAATAATATATAATATAATATATTATAATATAATAAGTATTAATAAGTATTAATAAGTATTATAATATATTATTTTATACATGAAAATTATCATTTTAGATTCTGAGCGGAGCGATGAATGTATCGATTTCACAATGTGTGTTTTTTAATTTTTTTTTTTTTTTTTGTCAATACATTGACCCACTTGTGGCCTATTGAACAGCAAAGCGACATCCACTTTTTTTTATTACATCGTCTGTCTATAATATTATTAAAATATAAATTATAATATAATATAAAATATTTGAGAACTTTTAGTTTCTCGACAATGTTGATATTATGTCCCCCCCCCCTTCACGACTGAGCGATTATCGTCGACGAAATTTCGAACATTATCGATACATAATATTACTAATGGAATACGCTATCTTAACTATGAATTATAGACGCATTATAATCTGTTTTCCTGCCACCCATTACTCTCCAAACTCTCGTCTATAATACAACATAATATAATAATACTATTGATAATCTATATAATAAACCTTCGGCCGCCGTCTATAAACAGTGTACAGTAAAACCTCTCTATAACGGACCCTCTATTAGACGGAATCCTCCTTATAAAGGAAAATGTCAATAATTTTCTATTAATCTTTCAATAGTTTTTCTACCTCCCTATAACGAAAAACTCTTTATAACGGAAAAAAATTGAGTCCCAAGCGGTTCCGTTATAGCGAGGTTTTACTGTATAACATTTCGCCGACAGTTAATAATCCATTACACACGCTTTTCCTATCGTCTGTCGTTCCCCGCTAACGACCTTTGTTTTTCGGCCGATTCGCCTACTAAACGGCAACGCGTCCGTCCGCGTTAATTACCACCTACTTGGTAAATAACTTGGACCATTCCGTCGATTGACCTCCGCTCGAATCGACACGATGGCCGTTTCAAATGTAACATATTAATATTATTATAAGACTGTTGTTGAGGCAGTGTCGTATAGTTACAACGGTAAGAAGGCTCACTTATGTCGCAGTCATAAATTATTTAAAGTATTTTTATTTTTTAATATCTCATATAGCATTTGAGTGATTTAAATATAGTTTTCTAGTGTTTAAAACACTATTTTACTATCATATTATAACGTACAATGCTGTGTACTTGTTAAAATGGTCGTGTGTGAAAAAAGAATTCTAAAGATCATTGACGACTAAATAGAAATATCGCGAGCCCTTATTGTGTTGATCTTATTATTACGATTAATGACTTTTGTTGGTTTAGTGATATTATTATTAAGTGGTTAAATTGTTTTTGTTTTTTAGGTAAAATATTAAAACTACAAAAGTCGTTTTAATGATATAAGTGAAAGTCGAGTCCGTTTACGTGGTATGTCTGAATGCAATATTGATCTAAGAATTAAAATAACTCAGTCATACTAAATTTAAAATAAAATTGTTTTATAATTTATTTCTTCAGTCGTACTGGCTTTCTACCGATCGAGGAGAGTGAGAGTCGTCTATAATTACAGGTACTCCTCGTATAATATATTATTATTTATTTCAAAATCAAAATTCGAAACCAGAGGTGTCTTATAGTTGCGTCATTCGCAATTAATACCTGATATAGGTACTGATAAGAAATATAAATAGTAATATATGTACTTTTTAGCACGATCGATATTATAATGATAACACGCGTTTCATTAGAGTTATGACAAAAAATATATCGAACAAAGTTTGCAGGCGATTATCGATGCAAAAAGATTTGTATTTTTATGGCCTCGTGGGAAAAAAATCCGTCTCGGGCTCCCTTCAAAAGAGCTCCCCTGCTCTCGACGCATAATATAATAATATGTATATGCACCGTGGTATGTGCGTGTGGTTTTTATACTTACCCTCAGCGTACAACACAAATCGCGAAGAATGAAAACGGTATACATATATAGGTTTGCATGCATCACATATATCGTAAGATATTATATTATATATTATAATGCATTATGCCGATATCGCGAGGATGTATTATTATTGTATACGATTTATAACAAACGTTTAGCGTGTCAAATGTTTTGTCGCTTCGAGATAAATTGTGTGCTCGCACTCTGCATATAGTGTTATGTGGCACGAGCAGCCCCGTACACGCGATATTATATTATTATTATTGTTGTATAAAATAACATTCGCAGAGATACGAATTTTTTCCCTAATGATTAATGACGTAAATTATTATATTTCGGGTTGTGTAGCTCCGTGCACCGTGCGCATGCGCGAGTGGTTTCGACGGAATCGATGACGATAACGATACCTAATGATAACGATATAATTGTAATAGATAACAACGGCAACGATCGACGAGGTTTCGGATTAGTATCGTGTCTTCAAGCCCAGTGACGTAATTTGGTCACGTTCGTGGAGGATTGAAACATTATAGTCAAAAAACTTGATTGAATTAAGTCCGACCCAGTGGCGTATATAGGGGGGAGGCCCCCTAGGCCAGAGACCATAGTGAAATTTCAGGTTGAATTAAAGCATTGCATGTATATTTTCACGGTTAAAAGTTTTTCACTATGATTAAGTTAGCCGATTGATTAAAATCGTTTTTGAGGAATCAACAATTAAATGTTAGATTGTCAGGACTTGCTTTGATAATTTATTGACTTTGATGTTAAATTCATAGTAAGATACCATTAAAATATATAAATGGCACTGTCAATATTTTTTAAAAAGAATCAAAAAATTTAATTTTACATAATAATTATAAAACTAAATTGCTCAATTTTTATTTGTACTGTATAATATGTCATAATTATAACCACCCAGCTCCCTAAAAAATGTATAGTTATGGCTATGTTAGTCTTGCTATGCTTAACTAGTGATAACTGATAAATTGGCCCATAGTGAAAATAATTTGTATATACGCCACTGGACTCCGACCAACAATAATGATTGCACCGTAGGAATTAACTCGTTGAAATACATAGATTTCAGAAAAAAAAAATGTCCAAAAATCGTTTGGGTAAACTGCATTTTCTATGAACATTCGTGGAATAATCTGCGTATGGGTATAATGTACGATAAATGGAGCACTTAAAAATTTTATTACGTAGTTGGAACTAGGTCCGTGACCGACAAATTTTGATTGTAACATTGTGCTTAGCTCGTTGAAATTTACCTATTACCGCTATAGGTTTCCAAAAAAATTCCCAAAAATCGAGCTAAAAGCATTATTTCAATAATATATATTTGTGCAAATTAAATTCGCAATAGTGATTAGTGTTCATTACGAAGTAATATCGTCGTAGATACAGCTGCCGTAGGGGATTTGGGTTTTTACTTGTTGTTTATATAAAATATTCTATATAAGTACATAAATATGGTTGGCCAATTAAAAAAGTCATGGGGGGGATACGACACCCAAATTCTCCTCCCCCCATAATTACGCCATTGTTCACGACCGATTATCCGAAGAACATGTGTACCTATTACTGTAATATTATGGGGGGAGCCTTAGTTGAGTCCCGTGAAAAAGGTTAATACGAATTGCGTCCCACTATATTGGTTAGGTATTAGAATTTTCATTTCGTTTTCAGGGGTTATTCGTTGTGTATTAATTATAAGGGGGCTTGGGCTCTGATATTATAACCTATTTTTTGACTGACGTTTTGATTGATATCATTATTATTTCTGACCGACGTTTTGATCTTCATATTACATTATGGACTATATTGATTTTGATTAGATTTAAGAGATTCAACGTTTATTTATTTTTTATTACATGTATTAGATTGACATATGATTTTATTTATTATTTATTTTTTGTTAGTTTTTTTTTGAGCCCCTGATTAAAATACACAAACTGCCTCCTGGATTTTTTGGGACGCAATTCGTTTATACCTTTTTATGGGACGCAACTCATGTGCTCCCAATATTATTAGGTGGAGTCGCGAAAACGGATAGACATAAATTTATTTTATTTATTTTATTTATTTTAATATCGGTAAAGATTACTAGGCCTCACTGAGTAAATAAATAATATAATAACTACATAATAATATAATAAATACATAATATATAATATATTATACGTAAATTATTGCTCTGACGATCGCATGTCTACAGCTAGGGTGCTCGAGTGGCGACATAATACTATAACGAATATTTAATTTATGAATAATGAAGACCAGCTCGAAATTGGCTGTCGTTACTTTAATATATTAATAACTTATATTATATAACCACATAAACTTGTACGGGGCACACTGACCTTTAAGAAAATATTTACCCGCTCTTTTACTATTGTTTTGGGTATTAAATACCTATTTGAACAAATAAATGTATCCGACCTTATTATTATAATATATATTTTACATTTATTACACACAGGCGCTTGATGGAAAAAAACGATCCTCTCATATGCGAAATGTGTAGAGTCAAACACATTATCACCGAATGCCAAAAAAACGAAACACGAGGAAAAAACACCACATATCACAACAAATCGGACGAACAAATCCGACCCTCAATCAATCACCAACATCCTACAATTTATAAAAGAAATTCAGCTATATAACTTAATTTAAGTCATACAATAACATAATATACCTTTGTAAACTAATTTTAAGTTAATGTCAAACTAATGGCCAAAGAAGCCGAAGTTTTTTAGATCAATAAAAAAATAAAATAAAAAAATATTATACATTTAGCTACTCTAGGTGGCTACTCTGTTCAGAGAGAGAACGTGAAAATGGGTTATTCTGCGCAACTCCCCTGCACGGCACCCTGTCATAGGTAAACCTATTGTGTAAGGGGGGAGGGGGGGTAGCAAAATCGGCTTGTTCTCCCGCTGAACAGAGTAAAGGTATTTCTGTGTATTTAAACATCTACGCGACGCGTATAGCGAAAATAACATGTCATTACCTTGAACACCTCCCAGGTGGCGCTGAACGGCAACACGGCCACGCCGACCATGAGGTCAGACACGGCCAGCGAGACGATGAACGTGTTGGTGGGCGACCGGAGCTTGGAGCTGTTGAACACGGCGGCCACGACGAGCGTGTTGCCGACGGTCACGATGAGCGCGATGAAAGACAGGCCGACCAGGGTGCTCAACACCTGCGCGTCTCTCCACACCAGCGAGTCGCGCAGCGTCTGGCACTCGGTCCGGTTCATCGGGCCCGGCCACCGGCGGCGGGTGTTCAGCGGTCGTCGGTAAGCGTGGACGGTGGACGGTGCACCGTTCGCGTGCGTTCGGGGCGGCCGGTGCGCGCGCGCGGGCAGTGGTGGTGGCCGCGACGCGGTCAGCGGGCCGGCGCGACGTACCGTCGGTCGCGTCGCAGTCGTGGACGAGCGGCCGTCGTGACGGCCGCCGCCCCCGCCGCTGCCGCCTCGGTGTTGTCGGTGTTGTTTTGGTTGTTGTTGTTGTCGATGCTGTTGTCGCCCGACGCCAGGCGCACACGACGACCGCGAACAGCGACCGAGCCGGTTGAGCGACCGCACACTACCACGTGTCCGCGGCCGCCGACGGAACCGCCGCCGCGGTCGCAGCCGACCACGTTGTCGTTCCCGTCATCGTTGCGGTGTGGTCGCAGTGTCTGTCGTCGTCGTCGTCGTCACCGAGGCGACGACAGTCATCGCCCCCGACTTAACGTCATATTATCATCAAAGCTACTCAATGAACGATAGTCGTTATCAGTATCAGGTTATTTAACGTCTGTCGTCCGACTAAGTCAACGGGTTCGATAATAGTTCGGTTAGGCTGCCAGAAACACCTGAAACACATTTTATAAAAACTCGTTAAATTGTTCTGAGAACGACATGAAAAAAACAAAATATTATCTTAATGTGTAATGACATAGTAAAACGCAAGATCATGTGACGTGAATCGGTCAGTGTCCGATAGTTATGATATTGGGCGTGATTTGGGGGGAGGAAAAAGGACCATGGAGAGACTTTGCCTCCCCTCCAAAAATGTATATTACAATTGGAGTGTCAAGTCCTTCATTAATCATAATTTAGCTATTCTCTATAGTAAACGCTGTTTGATGAAACTAAATAACAATGAACTTTATAGTTTAAACAGCAATATATTATTCATTATAATGATGTGTTTTCGTATGGCAGATATCGAAACCAGACAAAGTCCATTATTATAGGTTTGATATTATTAAAACTTATAAAAACAGTTTTATATTAAACAGTGAAATTATTAAATAAACAAATTTACGATACACGATGCATGGCAAGTATCAACATTTCAATATTTTGCTATTAGAAATCGGTCTACAGCTGTTGTAGGTTTTGGTTTTTATAACAGCCCCTACAGCCACGAAGTTGTCCACGTCTTGTAGTATAAAATGTAATATAGCCATATAGGTACCTTAAACCGGGTGCAGTGAGAGCCCCCCGCAAGTCTGTCTAATTTAAATATGTGTATGGCTCCACCTAGTCAAAAACTTGAATTTCGTCTTTGGCCGGTTTGGACCTCGGTAAATATCGTTCGCATATTAAAAATGTATTTCATGTGTTTCTTTAAATGCTAATAATTATTAATAAAAATCTATCCGATCGATATAAACGTAAATATAGGACGATACTTTTTTTTTTTTTATACATTTTCAGTGATTACACTTTTGGTGCACAGTAAGTCATCTGATATTCTAAACTTGAAGGCGTATAATATTATGTTTCTCGGTTGAGAAAAATGTGTCTGGTAAGTTCTTGGGAAAAATAATTTTCCAGTTTTCTCAGTAATTTTACTGAGAGTGAAAAAGTCTGCGGATAAGTTTCACAAGATACGCGAAGACATTCGGAGAACGTTTTAATCGAACTCCGCTCGGATTCGTTTTTAAAACGCAATGATTCATCATTGTTTTCGAATTCAATATCAAAGCTCCGATGTATCACACTCGGCCCCACCAGGTTTATTCCTTTTTGTTGAATTATTGTAAATTATATTTGATTATTTTATATAATATATGTTTTTTTAGCAATAATTTAATTCGATAAAGTTTTTTACTCGGTTTTTTAACATGTTTAAAACTAACATACTATAATAATATCGACACATATTACTGTTTTAATCACTTCTTTCTCGCGACCCATACCACTGAAACCCTGGTGTTAATCAGCTAATTCGGGTCGTGACCCACATTAGTTCGGGAACGGCGAAGCAATTTTATCACAACGATTGGATCGTCGTTATTTTAACATGATAAATCGTTTGCGGTCCCTTTGAATTCAAACGTGTAATTAAATAAATAATTTTCCGCAAACTCTGTTTTTTAAATTGTTTAATTACGTTTACATTTTTTTTTTTCGTACCCTCTTAAACGTTATTGCATTATAATTATAATAATATAAGGTCAACGGCAGCCGAGAACGTGACACGTATTCAGAATATGTTTCTACACTGCGTGATTTTTTCAAACGACGTGGAGTGGCGTAATAATTTTGGTTTTTTAAGCGCGGGGGTGTATAGGACCAACAACTATACCCCTATACACTATTATAGGACGTACTTAAAATGACTATTTGGGAAACATAAACGCTAAAACACATTTAACGACCCCATCCAATTCCCACCGGATGTGCAAGCGGCAATTGCGATTCTCGGGCCAAAACGAAAAGTCGTATGAATAAGTATCGTAACAAAACGTAACATATACCACCTCATTAATTTGTATGTTATTTCAAAGAGAAAAACAATCGATTGTTTTTGGTTATAATATGGTTTCGGGACGGTTTATTATGATATTTAATATACGAAACAATATAATAATAATATGATGGTCGTCGCTGTCACTGATGAAATTTTTTGCGGAGCTAACATATAGTGCGGTATAATATACATAATATCACATACAGAATGCATCACAAAGCATTGCCAACGCCATTTTTTCCTCTTCGTTAATGATGAATTTATTCGAATTGTGATTTTTCGAAAATATGTTAAGTCAGTATTGTATACTTAATGATCATAATGTAATTATTTAGATATTTTATGTCGTTGAAAAAAGACATGTCCCGTGGCAACACTAACTTGTTTTTACAGTATTTATAATCATACTTTTTTACTGTAAATGAACAAAAATTACCACCATATGTCAAACGAGTAAATTCCGAGTTATTATACAAATTAAAATGTATCTATATACTAAAGCTGTTTTACAAAAATATAAAATACATAATATTATGAACTTAGACAATTTTTATATTTAATACTAAAATGTACGAAATATTATAGTCACAGACCCTGTATATTTCCACTATCATGGAATTATTATCCTTGGTAACAAAAGGTTAAATAACTCAAATATCATCAGTTCGAATTTCGATTTAGAATTTTAGATACATAATTTTTTTGTCAACAAGTCGTCTGGTTATCGCTTCGTGGGGAAAAAAGTATGGTTATTCTCGTTAGGAAAATAAAAGTAGTTAGGTACCGTCTCACGGGATATACCTCCTTTAATCGGTGTGGTAAATGTATTTGAAAATACCACGGTCCTTGAGTGACTTAAAAAAATTCAAAGTTTTAATAAATTAAAATCGGTTGCTCCGTATACCGCGTTTGTGGTACGGTATAGTTTTTATTTACCGGGGATAATTGCAGGCGAAACGCGCGTATGTAATAGGACGTTTTTAAAATTTTCAAATTAAATATAACGTTGGAAATTCGAAAGAAACGAACGAGACGTCTCTCGGAATATTATATTTTTGCCCGCCACCGATGTCCCAACTCGAATAACAGTGAAGAGAACATATTATAATATATATATTATATATATACGTCGTTTATATGTAAATACATATTATATTATTTACTGCCTTCGAAAAGTGACATTATTTTGTTATGTGATGTGCCGGAACTGCGTATATAGGTACCTTATATATATATTATATTATTATATATTATACATACGTATACGACTTTTACAAACACATATATTATATTATGAATATATGTATATGATGATGGTATGTGTATATTATCGGTATACACACGCTGCAGTTATATTATAATAATATGATGAGTTCTTATTTTAAGAGCATATTATTATCACGATTAAAATATATAACGTTCGTTAACTATATAATATTACTAACTGAATCCGCGCACTTCGTTTACTTACTTCGAAATCGCAATAATTACTAAACAAATTATGGTTGTTAAACTCCTTTTGGCTGCAGTAATAAGGGCTACTATTTCACCTTGGTAGGCGATGATCAGTAGTTCGATTTGATGCAAGCTTGTACCTGATCTGCCCGAATAACCCCAATGGGGCGACCAATAATGAATAAATATTAATTTATACTGTAGACTATAACTAAATCATCATCAGCAGCTAATTCACATATTATTTTAACCTAGTGATTGTAGACGCATGCGAGGGAATCGATTGGGTTTGTGCGGCAGTCTGACTTCATTTAAATTACTTGTACATTACGACAATATTACAATAATGGAGCGCATCTCATAGGCGTCGGAAAATAATAATATAAAAGGAAACGAGTGGGGTGGGTGGCGGTGGGTAACATCGTCGTTCGAAGCGGTAAACCCGTTGGCGAGAAAATCGTATATGAGGCCGTGCGCGTTTGTGCAGTACCCGCACACCTCTGCCTTTTGCGCATGCGCGTGTGTGCGTGGGCGATATCATTATATACGCGTCGAGCACAAAGGGAGAGCTTTCGAAACCGTAAAACTATTATATTAACGCGCAGGAAAACCGAAATCTGTTATGACGTGCCGAAACAATACATTTAAGTACCGCGTTGCCGCCGCCGAGTACTTATTCGACTATTGTTTGCTCTCGAAAATATTACGGTCGGTGGCGACGAGAGGGGGTCGAAGACGAGGGGGAGGATTTGTCGACGGCGGCGGCGGCGTGTGTTTGCCAAGCTAGGCGCCACGTACATTGCAGGTACCTTTATAACACACACACACACACACATATATAATATATAATTATGTTTATTGTATTTTAATGCCTCAGAAGGGGGTTTCATCGATTCCGCCAGACCTTTTTATACTAGAGGATAAGGTGTGTCGATTCCGCCACCATCGATTCCTCCAGTACAGGTAGTCTAAAAACAACCTATCGATTCCGCCAGGGAAAAAATAAATCTCCCAAACGACAATTATTATAGTCAATTGTAAATCGTAATGGTAGATT